TACTCAATAACTATCTCCACATGAGACTCTTTACCGGCAGTAAAATCAAGTCAAAGTTTAAGTTACAATTAAAAAAAAAAAAAAAAATTGCCAGAATCCATAGACAGGGAACTGCCAGAAATTCAAGCCAGATTCAGAAGAGGACATGGAATGAGCGATATCAGTGCTGATGTCAGATGGATCTTGGTACACAGCATAGAATAATAGAAAGTGTTTACCTTTGTGTCAATGACTATGCATAGAATTTCAACTTTGTGGATCTTAGCATATTACGGACAACACTGTAAAGAATGGGAATTCTAGAATACTTAATTGTACTCAAGAGAAAAATGTTCATGACCACGAGGTAGTCCTTCAAATAGAACGTGTGCCTCAAGGTTGTATCTTTTAAGCACATTTATTCAATCTGTATGCTAAGCAAATAATCTGAGAAGTGGGACTATATGAACAAAGCATCATCAGAACTGGAGAAGGTTCATTAACAACTTGTGATATGCAGATGGCACAACCTTGCTTGGTGAAAGTGAAAAAGACTTGAAGCACTTACTGATGAAGATCAAAGACTGCAGTCTTCAGTATGGATTACACCTCAACATAAAGAAAATAAAAACTGGCACAACTGGACCAATAAGGAACATCATGATAAATGGAAAAAAGACTGAAGTTGTCAAGGATTTCATTTCACTTGGATCTACAATCAACGGCCATGGAAGCAGCAGTCAAGAATAAATGACGTATTACACTGGGCAAATCTGCTGCAAAAGATTTCTTTAATGTGTTAAAGAGCAAAGATGTCACTTTGAAGACTAATGTGTGCCTGACCCAAGCCATGGTATTTTCAGTCATCTCATATGCACATGAAAGATAGACAACGAAGAAGGAAGAACAAAGAATAATTATGTTGTTGGTGAAGAATACAGAATCTCCTATAGACTGATAAAAGAATGAACAAATCTGTCTTGGAAGAAGGCCAGCCACAATGCTCCCTAGAAGCAACAATGGCTAGACTTCATCTCTGGTAATTTGGTCATGTTTTCTATCAGAAGGGAACAGCCCCTGGAGAAGGATATCATGCTTGGTAGAGGGTTAGTGAAAAAGGGGAAGACCTTTAATGAGACAGACTGACACAACAGTTAAAGTGATAGGCTCAAGCACAGCAACGTTTGTCAGGGTGAGGCAGGACTGGGCAGTGTTTCATTCCGTTGTACTTATGCTCACTATAAGTTTCAACTGACTTGATGGCACCTAACAACAACATGAGTTATAACTGAATAAAGGAAGCAGTTCCCTTATGGTCTAACCTAAGTTTTCTCTGCCATGATTTCAACAATATGTAATTTAATAAAATGATGTTGTTGTTGTTGTTATGTGCCATTGAGTTGGCCTCGACTCATAGTGACCCCTCCTTGGGTTTACAAGGCAGTATCACTACGGAAGTAGATTGCCCCATCTTCCTTCTGAGGAGTGGCTGGTGGGTTTGAACCTCCAGGCTTCTGGTTAACAGTCAAGTGCCTTAGCCACTATGCTACCAGAGCTCCCAATTTAATAAAATGTAACCCCTTTATATAACTAATGCTGAAAATGTCACCAATAAAATTAGTTGAGAAATGAAAGAAACAAGAAAATGTAGATTCCATCCACCCAAATGAAACAAAACATTTTATTTTTCACTGGAATTGATATCTGCGGTTCAGTGAATTGCTTGGTATGGCTTTTCTAGCCATGATATTCGCAACTCCCGCCAGATGAGGGGGTGGAACTACATAATGTGAGTTGCTTATGGCCCACCACAGGGCCTGGATAGCCTGTCAATAATTCAAATAAGGTACATGGCACCCTTATGTGGGTGGGACTGAGTAAATAAGGTTTATGGAACCCTAATGTGGGGATTGGTCAGTTTCATCATTTCACTAGGCTTAAATGAGCCATCCCGGAGGCAGAAAAGGGGGATGGGGGATCTCACTGCCATCAAGACAGAGCAGGAGTGGACAGCATCCTCAGAAATTAGATCCTTGTGCTGGACTTCCTTGGCAGAGAGACAGCAGCAAAAGAATTAGCAGAACCAAGTACCTGGCATGAGACAGAATGGCAGGTTTCCTAGCTTAAAGGGGCAAGAAGGCTGGGTGTACAGCAGGGTGCCTCTGTGGGAACTGGCTGAGTTAAAGAGCTTTGTAACACTTGCCAGAGGCCAGGCCAAGAGGTCAAGGGCCAGAGAGAAGCGTGCTTATAGGCATTGCTGAGGGGAGACTGTCCTGATTGAAGAAGCGTATCCTGAGCATTCCTGAACCTGAATTGTAATCTGGTGCTTCTCTAATAAACCCCATAATCTTGAATATTGTGTATGAGTTGTGTGTGGTTGCTGCAACAAATTATCAAACCCAGCAGAGAAGCAGAGTGTTGTGGGAGGGATGGCTGGTATAAGAATTGGCAAAAACTTGGAGGGTGGCAACACGTCTGACATAGGAATCAGCCTTGAACTGATGTTCCTGATGATGAATTTCTCCTCTGTGAAATTAGGGAAGGTCAGATGACAACAATCCCATGCCCTTTTGGTAATATCCAAAGCTTATAGAAAATATATTTAACTCATACTAAATTATATCATTCTAATGTTTCTTCTTAGAAGCTCTGGTAGCATAGTGCCTAAGGCATTTGACTGCTAACCAGAAGGCTGGTGGTTCAAACCCACCAGCCACTCCTCACAAGGAAGATGGGGCAATCTACTTTCGTAGTGATATTGCCTTAGAAATACGAGGGTGTCACTATGAGTCGGGTCTGACTCCACGGTACATAACAACAACAACAACATTTCTTCTGTTTGAACTGTTTCTAATTTTTTCTAATAGATTCTATGATATAACTTTTATGCAACCACTCACTGCCATCGAATTGATTCTGACTTATTCTGACTGTTTAGGACATAGCAGAACTTCCCCAAAGAGCTTCTGTGATAATGTGTGTCAACTTGGCTAGGGGATGATTCTAAGTGGTTTAGCAGTTATGATGTAGTCAGCCTCCATGAGATGTGATATAATGTAATCACCTCCATAATAAGATCTTCCATGAGCAATCAATCAGTTGAAAGGGCATTTCCTTCAGGTGCAGCCTGTTTTTAATACTTAAGAAAAAGTTCTGGCAAAACTCTCTGCCTTTTTGCTTGAGATTCTGCATCTTGCTCATCACCATCTGGACTTGAACCAATGGCCTACTCTACTCCCTGTTGATCTTAAAACTGTTGCCTTAGCAGCTTGTGAGCCAAAAAGCTGCCACTTTACCTTCTGTTCTTGGGTTCACCAGTTCCCACAGCTACATAAGTCAGGAGAACCCTCCAGCTGGACCTCTGACCCATGGAGTTGGAACTTGCCAGCTTCTACAGTTGCATGAGCCATTTCCTTGAGATAAATTTCTCCTCCTCTCTCTTCGTAAGCTTCACTCATTTTTCTTCTCTAGAGAACCCAGCCTAAGACAGTTTCCAAAGATGTGAATATTTATAGAAGCAGACTGCCTCATCTTTCTCCCATGAAGCAGCTGGTGTGTTCGAACCACAGACCTTCTGGTTAGCAGTTAAATGCTTTAACCACTGCACCACCAGAGCTCCTTCTTTTATGTACAGTACATATGAAAATGGTTATGTAGGGACATTATACATAACAAAACATAATTAAAATATTTATCTTAAAAAAGGAGCTCTGGTGGCGTAGTGGGTAAGACATTTGGCTGTTAACCAAAAGGTCAGTGGTTCAAACCTACCATTGCTCTGCAACAGGAAGATGAAGCAATCTACTTCTGTAAAGATTTACAGCCTTGGAAACCCAATGGAGGTAACTATGAGTTGGAATCAACTTGATGGCAATGGGATCTTAACAAATACTACTTCATTAAAAAAAAATTGTTACAGCTATGGGAGAGGGGATACAAAAGCTTAAACTACAACTGAAACCAAAGAGTACTATAATCATTTAGGAAAAATCTTCTCTTTCTGTAATCTTAAAAACTGGAATTTGAATGGTCTGTCCCTGCAGTGCAATGAACTGCTTTTGTATGGCCTTTGTTTCCATGGTCTTGTAACTGCCATCAAATGACTGGGTGGGACCATGCAAATGTGGCATACCAAGGACTAGACAGCTTGCTAACAATGCAAATAAAGTGCATAGCACCCTTGTTGGAGTGGGAGCATGCAAATAAGGTATCTGGAACCCAAAAAGGGGAATGATCAATTTTGCCATTCTGCTAGGGTTAAAGTGAGCCATCCCAGAGATGGCCAGGGGAGACATCACTCCCACCTAGAAAAGTCAGGATGACTCTAAGTACTTGGTGGAGTTCGGCTCACTGACCCACAGAGCAAAGGAGCTACATATCTATGGTCAGGAGCCTTGTTGGTGGAGTGGGGCACTTGTCAATGGAGCTAGACTTCCTGACCCATGGAGCCAGAGAGCTGCGTGCCTTTGGGCTGAGGCTTACTGGTAGAGTAAGGTGCCTCTGGGCCCTTATCAGTAGAGCCAAAGAGCCCACACAGGGCAGAGGCTGGGCCAGCCTCTGTATCCTGAGTATTCCTGATTCTGAATTATAGTCTGGTACTTCCCTAATAAACCTTAAAATCATGAGTATTGTCTGTGAGTTCTGTGTAGCCACTGCAACCAATTATCAAATCCTGCAGAGGAGTAGAGAGTGCTATAGGAGGGATGACTGGTGTAGGAATTAGCAAAAAGTTTGAAGAGAAGAGGCATTCTGGCCACTTCACAGAAATCAGCCTTGGGGCTTCTGATGTTGACCTCAATTCTCCTCTCTCCTCTTGAAGTTAGAGGATCTCTGATGCTACTCTGCCATTTTTATATACACTACCAACAATATCAATTTTTTTTCAACACAGCACTATAAAAGCAAAAAACTATTAAATCTACCATTATAAAATCAAATCAACATTAACAGGTTAAATAAAAGATTGATTCTACTTTGCATGTAAGCATTATTATATTACATGTTAGTTAGCCTAAACCTACCTGACTGGAGATGTCCATTGCGACATGTCAAGTTAGTATTGTCATTATAGACGTCCGTTTGTGACTTGGAAAATTGCAAAACTGGTTGCAGCTTCTCTATGCAACAGAGGGGGATAAAAGGGGAAAAATAAACAAAAATAGATAATGAATAAATAAAAAGTATGTGTGAAAATGAAAAATTATTTTCAAAATGTAATTAGTAAAAACTCAGACATGGAAACAGCAACAGAAATTAACTAGTGAAGACTATGTTAAACATGTAACTTATTTGATACTGAGGCAGGTCCACATAGCTATTATCATGAGCAAATATTCATTAAATATCTAATATGCCCAAATTATTGTACTGCAAAGGTACCATGGAGATTGCTTTTTAAAAGAATATGTTCTCTAACATCCAGATCACTATTAAATGTAACTGACAACTTATAACACAAATATAATAATAACCATTTTTTATAAACTACATAGTATAAACATAACCATTGTAAAAACTTTACAGAGGGAGTGAAATGGGCTATGAGTTGGCTAGGATTTAAAAGATAAAAAAAGGACTTTTCAGGAAAGAAGAATAACATTTAAAATAGCACAGGAGGAGTCTAAAATGTTTAGGAAATGCCATATTCAGCTATACTAACAAATATTTATCAGGCAAAAAATAAAGGCAAGAAATCAGAGTGGAACAAGCATGCTGCAGAAGTTATTTATACAGTACCTGACCATTTATATTTAAACACACAAACACACACACATACACGTATGAAGTTTACCTCTGAAAAGGACTCAGAAAAACGGGTAAATAGCAGCTGTCTCTCAGAAGGGGAAGTGGGTCACTGGGGCGGGCATAGTATGAGATGGACACTGTTCATACTTAAACTTTTTTTTTTTTTTTTAATTTAATGGCACGTGACTGGAGAATGCATTTTAGAAATCAATCAATTAAAAATTAGAAAAGATCATTTGAATCCTTCCCCCACTTCAAAAAACAAAATCAAACAAAAAACTTTCCTAAGATTTAGAACTCTTAACACCTGAAGCTCAAAAGAGTAACTGTTTGATCTTCCTTGCAACTCTATCACTGCTACATTCTCTTTCTTCATTCAAGTTACTCTATTATGTTACCTGAAATATCCCTTGCTCTACCACTTACTAGCAGTGAGAGGCCTTGCTTTAGTCTCAATATTCTGAGGATTTCAAGGATTAAATAAAATTTTATGTGTGTGTGTGTTTGTATGTAATATATATATATATGTGAAGTACTTACTTCATGCCTCATCCATAACAAGAGTTCATTTTTACCATATTTCTTTTGCTAACCTACGGATGGTGTAGTGCCTAAGGCACTTGACTGCTAACCAGAAGGCTGGTGGTTCAAACCCACCAGCCACTCCTCAGAAGGAAGATGGGGCAATCTACTTCCGTAGTGATACCGCCTAGGAAACCCAAGGAGGGGTCGCTATGAGTCGGGGCCAACTCGACAGCACATAACAACAACACTTCAAATCATAATAACTAATTTTCTCCTACACCAGCCAATTAAAGAATACGTGCAAAAACGATGCACATATATACTAACTCTTCTAAACTTCCATTTCTGAGGTCAGACAAGCAGGCGCCATGCTGGGTTTATGGTACAACCACATATACCTTTGGGACAGGTTAAATAGCAGCTACCTTTTTTGCACAAAGCACAGAGTACTGCAGAGCTTCTGTATCCTAGAATTGGCTGATACAATATACCTTGGAGCTAAGTTATTTTTTTGTTAGCTGACAGGTAGGTCATCTGATTTTTCTCGATGATAAATGCTCTTTAAATCACCATACTGAGACAGAAACAATTTGTGTTCGTAAACAACATTAAATTAGAACAAACGCTGATTTGTAAATATCTTCTTCATCAATTAAGCCTCTCTTCAATGAAATGTAACAAAAATTCACAAAAGCATTCATTATGTACTAAGAATAAATAGAAATTAAAACCCTAGTTTTAGTGACTAGTACTTAGGGATAAAAACTTAATGAAGTTGTTTTTAGGTGTGTAGGGTTTTAATTTATGTGAAAACACATATATACGCACAATTTAAAATATCCCAACACACTCCTAATGTGAACTTGGCTGATTCATTTTTGTCAAAGTAAACCTAGACTAATGCTTACTTTCAGGGTAACTAAAGATTGTACAGATTAACCAATGATTTAAATTAAAATAGTCATCGTGCATCCTAACCCTCACAACCATGCCCTACAAGGTCACCTGAGTGACCCACTTAAAATGGAAATCTTACCACATAACTCTTCTGCTTAAAACTCTTTAGTGGCTTCCCACTGCCCAAATATTAGAAAACAAGATCCTTTATAAGACAACCAGGTCTTCCATGGTTGCCTATAACTCTTATGTTTGAGGAACCTCAACTCATATGCCTCTACCAGCACCCTTTCCTACTCACCATGCTGTTTCTTCACTCTGGGTCTCTGTTCACACTGTCACCTCTTCTGGAGATGTATTTCCTCCTAAATGTTCTTTAACAGCTTCTATTTATCTTTTTAATCCTCACCTCTGGTTTCACTTTTGCCAGGGACCTTTCTCAGACATCTATCTTCCCACTCCCACAAAATATTTGCACATCCCTATTCTTCAGTAAAAGAAGCTCTGGTGGTAGTAGTTAAGACAACAGCTGCTAACCAAAAGGTCGGTGGTTTGAACCCACCAGGTGCTCTGTGAAATAAAGAAGAAAGATGGGGCAGTCTGCTTCCATAAAGATTTATAGCCTTGGAAACCCAATGGGGGTCACTATGAGTCAGAATCAACTTGATGGCAGTGAATTTTATTCTGCAATAAAGAATCTATTTGTGTGTCTGCTTTCCTACTATGAGATCCTTAAACAAGATTTTATCTAATCAATAATTCTGTTTGTTCAATCTTCATACTAAGATTACAACCAACCACTTGTAATTTCTCCTGCTACCAACCTGGTCAGGACCTCTGGTAGCGTAGTGCCTTAGGCACCTGACTGCTATCCAGAAGCCTGGAGGTTCAAACCCACCAGCCACTCCTCAGAAGGAAGGTTGGGCAATCTAGTTCCATACTGATACCACCTTGGAAACCCAAGGAGGGTTTGCTATGAGTTGTGTCCGACTGGACGGCAAGTAACAACAACAAAAACCAACCCAGTCTTTTCCTCCATAATTTTCTCCTATATTTATACAATAGTGTCCTAAATGGTCTTCTTGACTCTACTTTAGAGTCTGTTTGCAACACAGTAGCCTGTGAGGCAGTGAATTACTTGGTATGGCTTTTCTAGCCATAGTCTTTATAACTTCCACTGGATTACTGGCTGGGACTATGCAAATAAAGTGTGTAGAATTCTGATGTTAGGATTGGTTAGTTTTGTCATTCTGCCAAGCTTAAAATGAGTCTTCCTAGAGGCAGAGGGTGCAGTGTAGTAAATTACTTAGTGTGGCTTTTCTACCCATAAGTCTTTGTAAACTCCAAGGTGGGATTTTCTATGAGCAACTGAGGAACTATCCACCTGGGTTATTTCTGTTGGGCGTGGCACAATACAATGTTCTGGGAGGTTCCCACTCTCTCACACATACTTAGAGTTCTGATACTG